CGAAGTGTTAAAATAGCTACTAAATAATACAAAATTTATTGCTTTTTCGCTTTGCCGTCAAAACAGCTTTTCTTTTAAAATTTCTAGGAAAGAGAAAGTTCTTTTTCTTTTCAGTTCAAAATTCCAAGTTGATTCTCACCAGATGGTAAAAGTTATTTTCATGCTGTTGTGTTACCCAAAAAGCAATTTCTTGAACTAATTTACTCTCAACATTCCTCTTTTTTAACTTCTTATCTCTTCTGTTTATATTTGTGCCATTTAAAGTAAAGATATAGTCACCACAAGAAATTGTGAGTTCTGTAACGTTAATCTGACGTTGATTCCTCCATGAAGGCGGGGAGGAGCCTATCCCGCAATGCGTTGCGGTCGCGGTCGCAGTTGAGCTTTCAAGCCAATACTGTCCCTGCTCTATTTCAATATGTTTAGAACAGATTCCCGCCGTGTCAATTCAATCGCTACCACCAACGAATTTAGCACTTTCAATGGAAAAATTCTCAATGTATTCCACGTCTTTTGGACCTGAAATTTGAGCGAAAAAAGGATTCCTTGGGTTTTGCGCCTAACTATTTCGTTGTGGAGTTGGTCAGAACAGCTACTAAAGAAGTTTCTATCGAAGATATAAAATGTGTCATTTCGAGGAATTAGCCCTTCCAAGATTTAATACGAATTATGTGATAGAAGGCTGAAAAGCCACTCTTTTCATCTTTTCATCATATTTTCAACGCATTTAGTATTGAGTATATCCAAGTTTTTGTCCTACAATTTCTCAACTTCCTAAACTGGGAGAAAATCCTCTTATAACAAAGTACCAACTTGTTTGGTTAAGTATTCAAGTAGTTTGGAAAATTCCATCCAACAATATTCCACAGCGCGTACCCCCGCATCCATGCAGCCTTTGCGCGACGTTTTGAGCCTCGCTCCGCCCCTTGGAGCTCCTCGACGTTTCTCTCTGCTGCTCGGTCCTCCTTAATTGAATGAGCTGATGAGCTCTTATGCTGCACGTCTCCATTCCATTATTTCCGCGTTTTGGTACATTTTCATGTGGATTTTGAGTTTTTCTTTTCAGGTGACTCATTTCGGGGGTTTTCGTTTGCGTTGGACGTAGATTAGCATGATGTGCATAGTGGAGACACAAACCTAACATGCCATCGCACCAATCTCCAGCAAATTTTGGATGTTTGTCACAGTCTTGGGAGGCGAGTTCTTTTTTCCATTTTTTTCGCAATCTTTTCTACGGGAATTGCAACAAGTTTTTCAAAGTTTCATAGAATTTCTCATTTTCATTTTGATCGGTTTTTTTTTCTCAATTACAGTCACCAATGTTTGTCGGTTCGCCTCATGTTTGGAGAGAATGGAAAAATGTGATGAGGTCA